CACTACCAATGCACTGCAAATCTGAGCCTTTTGGTACAAAGCCGCAAACCCAGACAGTCACAGCAAGCTGACCACTAGACTGTAGGCAAAAGAACACATATGCCAGTGTCATTGTCTTTATACATCTATATAAATTATGCCACGCTCCAGAGCAAGCAGACAAGTAGCTGTCCTGGGGGAGCTCACATAGGAGGTGGCTCTTACTGCACCTTACCACTAGGTGGTGAGGGAGCACTCAAAGGCAGTGATTTTCAACCAGAGTGCCAGGGCGGACCAGGCTGCCTTGCGATCCTTTCAGAGGTGCTGGGGGTGCCCCACAGCATTAGCACTGTTAGGTGTGGAAGCATGTTTCACCAGATAAACCTGGAGATTTCCAATAGGAAACCATAGTATCACAAACGTTTGGCCCTGCTTTCTGAGTTATTTGTGACAGAAGAATTGCTCTTTTATTATTCCATAGTAAAAAATGAATGAAAATATAAGGGTTGTGTTTTCCAAGGGTGCCTGGAGTCTAAAAAGGCTGAGAACCACTGCTCTAGACTTTTCACAAAGGCTACCCCAGGATGAATGTGGACATAGTATCTATGTCAGTGTAACTCACTCCCCCAGTTCTTCCAGGGGTAATTCTCCAGTAGATTGAGTAGAATTACCCTGGTTTCAACTGTCTGTGCACTACTTCTACACCCCTGATATGGTGACAATGCTGGGGTCAGTATTTCATCTGTCCAGCCCTTGAGACATCTTTCAAGCACTGAGGACCTGATCTGAAGCTTTGAAGTCAGAGCCTTCCTGTTGGCTTCAGAGAGCTTTGGATCAGCCCTGCCTCAGTGCAGGAGATGAACAAGCTGTTTCACTGGTCAGTGCGAGGAAAGTCCAGGGACACAGCAGCAACCAGGCTGCTCTCCACAGCTCCAATGCTCAGCTCTGAGCCTTGTTCCCTGCAGCCCTTCTTAAAGGAGCAGTGCATGCCCAAGGCTGCCACAGCTAAGCCCCACCTGCCTCATCTCATCTGGAGCAGGATCCTCATCCCAACACAGGGAACTGGCAGCACAAGGGCCCCGGATGGGTTGCATTTTCTACAGACAGGTGGGCTTCGTGGTGCTGGAAGGTATTTACTTAGTGAGGAAGAACAGTGGCTGACAGGTGTCCTTAAGCTTCTCCCCTTCGAATATGAGGTGAGAATGGGAGCCAGGCTGGACCTTGTGCGAGCTTCGATTGCAGCCCATCAGTTCCCGCCAGGGGCCTGGAACAGATTGCTCCTTAAAACAACCTTGGTGCCTTTGCCTCTGCAGCCCTGGCAGCTAATGTGAGCATCCATCATCGTCCAGATGGGGGAAGCAGTGCAGGTCTGTGGTGCCAGGAATTGTACACTGGCAGGAGCTATTTATCTCACATATAGAGCCCCACAACCTTGAGGTTCACTGCTCAACATCTGCAGCGAGCAGCATGGGCTTGTCCTGCTGGAGCTACAAGCACTACTCAGCTAGCTGGCAGCAGCAGTAGGCTGTTATCCTCTAGTGACCAAAGAGAGTGATGCAGCATACTTTGCCAGCATATTGCCTCTGTGCCATGCTTTGTGAGCCACTCTCTAGGCACACACACAACTGACTTCCTATGGAGGATTCTGGGTAGCATGGTGTGAAGTTAGCCAACATTTCCCATGTAGAATGTTTTCCTGCTGAAAAAGGCAGTGTCATCAAAATAATGATTTGGGGGCTCTTTTTCAGGAAAACGCCAGTTCTTATTAAATAAAAATCAATTTGTTCTCAGAGGAAATATCAAAACAGACACTTTTGGTTTGTTCTGGCCTGCAGTGGCATTTGAGATTTTTAGTTTCTGAAAACTAAAACAGTTTCCGGTCATTTCTAATTAAAACATCACTTTGTTTAAACTAAAATAATGTTAATGGAAATGAAAATGTCCAGCTTGAATCAGCTTCTGTGGGAAAACCCAGCAATATTGGATTAAACTATTTCCCACACAGATTCCCATTCCAACTTTCCAGTGGAAAAAAATCTTGGTTTTCTGGCAGGATTTGTGCAGTCCCATTAATTACTACAAGGCATTAAGAACACGGTGGGCCAAGCTCACCACTGGGGCCAATGAATGAACCAGGCAGTGTTACATCGCTGCAGATGCCTGTTTGTTGTAGACTGCTTCTCAGTTGGGTGCATTTACATGTGCACTTTAATGCACATTAGCCTATTTTAATGAGTTTTAAGTGCCACAAAAAGTGCCCTTTTGCTAAAGTGCATTAAAATAGGCTAATGTGCCTTTTTCTAGTACCTCACAACACAGTCAGTAAATTTAATGCACATTAGCAAAAGTGCATTAACAAACACATAGATGTGTCCAGTATATCCCTGTGGCAGACACATGGCAACCACCTGAACACGAGCCTGGCTGCTCTTTGCTTCATCCTTCTCCCACAAGGTCGCTTACCCATGCTTGGAGCAGCCTGGCCAGCCTGGAGTAGGTGTTTGCTGTTCTGCTGGCCTGTGCTAAGCCCTGGGGCCTGCTCTCGCAGTGCTGGCAAATGCTGCTGCTGTTAAAAACAATTTGCTCTCAGAGATGAGGAAGGTTGACTCATTCACCCTGCAGGCATCCAGCCCCACTGGATCTGCCCCTCAGTATGGCAGGTCCATTCACCTACAGGTTGAAGGTTTACTATGTGTCTCATTGCACTTGTGTCCCACAGAGAGCCTATAGGCCAGCCTGCTGCCATCACTGCTTGCCCACTGCATGGCCCAGCTCTGTGGGTCCTAGTCATGCTGAGGCATAACTGGTGAGGCCCCTGTATCCAGGTCTTGTCACAGCCATGCCCCAGCCCCTCACACATGGCTCCAGGCCTGCAGAGTGCTAAACACAGCTCGGTTCACCCCCACCCCAGCATGTGCACACATGCCCCCAGTCCCAAACACTTCTGCTTCCAAAGCCAGGGGCCTGCCTCTCTCCACATAGGCACTCCCCAGAGTGGTGCTGGAGAATACAGCCAGCATGAGGCCTGGGCAGGGGCATCTGCGACTGCATTTTTTTCACCTTACCCTCCTCTCATCTCTCCCTGTTGCAGGCTGAAGAGGAGGTCGAGCAGCTCCACCTCTCCCCCACCCAAGAAGAAAAAGAAAAAGAAATCAGGACATCGCCGGAGCCGGTGAGTGGCCTGGACACCCCCTGTCCCTCCCTGCTGGGCAGGGGGAGCTGGGCAAGGCAAGTCCTGTGCCTCAGGTGGCCTGCTCTGCAAGGAGGGGGTAGCAGTCCCCTCAGGAGACTGGTTTACAATGAAGTCTTGCCACTCTTGCTCATCCCTCTCACCTGGGGTCACCCCCGCCTTGCAGGAGCTAATCAGAGCTTCAGCACAGGCCTGTCCTTGCTGTATCCATCTCCTAGTCTCTCACGTCATCCCCTGAAGCTGTCTGGAGCTCCCCCATGCTCAGCTGCAGGGGTGCAGGTGACCTAAAGCCAATAGGGGGAAGGGCCTCTGGCAGAGGAAAGGTGGAGCACAACAGGAGTCACAGACCCTCACTTTACCATTTACAAACTGCTGGGTGGCTCAGGTGCAGGGGGGCTGTAGCATGGCAGTGCTGGACCTGGTACCTGCAGGAAGGGCCTGCTTCAGCATCCAGCATGGGGCAACTGGGTAGAAAATGGGCAGAATGCCCTGGATGGGAAAGCTCAAAAGAAACAGCCCAGGCTGGAGAGCAGGGCCATGCCCTGGCCTGGCCCCAACTGCGTGAGGGTGCATGCTGTAAGTGAGCAGCCCATGCTGGTGCCCATGGACCTACTGGGGCAGTTCTACCTCCATGCTGCTCCCAGTCTGAAAACCCACCAGCTGCTTCAGTCCCAGGTGGAGAGGCAAGGTCCTGGGCCCAGCAGCACTGTGCTGTGCTACGTCTGCTTCCACAGAGGCACCCAGCTAGCTGAGGTGTGGGGCTTGCGAAAAGGACTGGTCTGAGCTGCTGGCACCACAGTGACACTGCTGCCCCCCCACCCCCTGCCCGCTGTCTGCAGAATGTCCCATTCCTCTCTCTGCACAGCTTGTTCCCACTGCATGAGCCCACTGATGACTGTGCAGAGCTGAGCAGGCAGCACTAAGGAGCTGGTGCCTAGGCATGGCATGAGTTCTGCATCTTGCAGGGCGCTGGGGTCTGCACGCAGCAGGGGATGGTGTTGAGCTGGGAAGAGATGCCTTGAGTGGGCCCTGTGGAGCAGGGATGGCTTCCTCCCTGTGGTGATTCAAGCTGCTCCACATACTTCATCATCCCTCTTCCCTGTCAGGAGCCAGACTCAGTTCCCCCAGCTCTGCCAAGCTGGCAGTGTTATCCGCAGCCAACGCCCTGCAAGCACCATGCTCTTTATACCTCCCCACTGCAGTGGGAAACAGACCTGGTATCCCTGGCTGGCGGAGCTCCTGGGAGACACCTACTGTGGGCACTACTCTAAAAAGCACACAGGACAATGCTGCCAGGGCAGGCAGATGATGGGCCCCAGCAGTGCCCAGCCAGGATCCCTGTGTCCATACAGCTTCTTCAGGGGAGACACAGAGGGTATCAGCATCTTGGCAATGCAGATAGGCAGGCAGATGGATAGGTGCTGAGGGAGGTAGGCATAGCATTTCCCCTTCTTCAAGCTCTGATGTGGTGAATGAGCCCTAGAAATCGGTAGGCCACCCCCACTTTAAGAGCTAAGTTGACTCACTGAATAGGTCAAGTGCCAGAATCCATGCTTGTCCAAAACTCATTACAAGTTTTTGGAGATGTGGGGTGAGAGGGAGTGAATTGTTCCACTTGCAGGGCTGTTAGCAGGGATTGCACATTTGCCTTGCCATTAAGTCTGACTCCCCATCCATCCCCCTGTCACCAGTGTGACCCCAGAGTAGGAGAATGGCCTTAAACCTCAGGCAAGCCATGCCAGCCAGTTGCCACCAGGTGGCAGAGTGTGCCAAAACATAGCTGTTCTACCAGGTGCAGCTTGGGTGCTGCATCACTGTTCATGCAGGGGTCAGGATGCTGCTGCCCAGGCTGGGAGCCTGGAGCCAGACATCCACAGACAGACAGACAGATTGATCTCCTATCCTGAGATCTGCATCTCCATCCTACTCATGCACAGATCAGCAGATAGTGAGACATGCACAGAGGGCCACACCACACAGAGGCACACAGTGAGGGTTACAATGGAAAGACACAGACAGACACACACAAGGAGAGTTGTGCACAGACATCTGGAGACACAAACAGATAGAGAGGCACAGACATTACACACAGACACACAAAGAACAGAGGTAGACATACACGTGCACAAACATAAAAATGAAGGAGACAGAAACATACACAGCAGCAGACACGTGCACATAGCTGACACACATCAAGGCAGACAGACAGACACACAGCATAAGGACACACATCCTTTTCCCGGCCTACACACACACACACACTGGGCGCATCTACACATGCACTTTAATGCTCAGTAGACTATTTTACTGAGCATTACAGCATCACATAAAAACCCATGGCATTAGGCTAATGCACAATAAAGTTGTCTACTGTGCATTAAGTGTAATTGAAAAGGCATGCAAATGTGCTACTGTGTATTAGCACATTAAGTGCACATTAATGCACATTAATTAAGTACCTCACATTGAAGATACTAAATTTAATGAGCATTAGAAAAGGCGCATTAATGCACAAGTAGATGTAGCTACTGAGGCTCAAATGCAGACTAAGAGCAAGAGACCCAGCGTGGGGGGGGAAGGGGGGTTGGAAGCTATGCATTGCCTGAAATGCCCAGCATATTGAAGGCTCTTGTACCTTGAGTGCACTCTCCCTTCCCCCACAACTGCCCCCCACTTCCCCCCAGCTTCTCTGATGGGCACTTGGGTATGTTTGCAAATTTCATTTATTTTTTCTCTTCATGGTGTACGGGATCCAACCAGCCCCGTCATGTTTCCCTGCTCAGCAATGCCATGTCTTAATGAGGCAATTAGTGTAAGTGCATGTGATAATCCTCACATGTCATTATGTCATTAAGAGATGCACGATCACACAGTCACCGTGTTGGGAGGGCGCATGCCGACATCCGGCTCGGCCCTCCCCTCCCCCCAGTGTGCAGATGCTGGCAGGATTTGGTCCTTAGACCCTATACAAGGGCTGAGCCCAACACAGAGATCCCTCCTGAGCCCCAATTCTGCCCTGGTCCCCATGCTCACCCCATGTAGGCTGTAGGCTGGTTGCCCAGCAGACAGACACTCTCACTAACATGGGTTCTCTGTTTCTCTGCTGTCCCCGGGGTGCAATGGCAGCAAAAAGAGGAAACCTGGCTCCGAGCGCAGGTGAGTGCTACAGCAGGACCCTGCGCTGCCCCAGTGGGTTGCCAGAGGGGTGGGCTGGGGGGGGAGGTGGGGAGGAGTCAGCATCAGGCATCTTTGGATGAGTTTCCTTGGCTCCAGGTACCTCCATGTTCCCAGGGCTCTGAGCAGTGGGCCAAACCCAGAGCTCTTTCCGCAGCTTCTGCCTTGCATGTATCCAATTGCCACTGTGGTCAGAACATGCCCAGTTAGCCCAGAAATTGGGTAGATATTGCCTAGTTCTATAGCTGACATCAAGTTGCTGCTGGGGCTGCTGCCTCTCTGCCTGGCTCTGCCTCGGAGCAGAGGCAGCTGGGTACGTGCAGCCTGCTCCAGGAGGTCTAAAGCAATGTCCATACCGCAAGTAGAGATGGCAAGGACAGGAAATGCTGAGCCAGCTCTAGCCCATCCAGCTCCTGGCAGTGAGGCAGGGAGAGATGGCAGAGCAGACTTCACAGGTCTCAGCCATGCATAGGGGTGCCCAGCTTCCCAGGCTGTCTTGTGACCTGCCCATGCTGAAGCTTGTGACTCTTTGCTGTTGCCTGTGCTCTAAGTGAGCTCAGGTGAGATCCTCCTGTGCAGCCAGCTCACTCCAACAGCATGGCAGACCCTGCAAGCAAAAGTTTCCTTTAACAAGCAACATGCTGGGTTGGGAGCCATTCCCCCAGCTGGCTCCATCCATCCAGTTCCATGGAAGTCAGCAAAGCACTGCTGATTTATCCCATCTGGGTCCCAGTGTCCCACTTGCAAACTCCTGCATCTGCAAAAGGCAGCTCTACCATTGACTTCAATGGGACCAGAGCTGGGCCAGGGCTGAGCACTCTGGGAGATCCTGCTTCCAGGGCTTTGGAAAATATGGATCTCATTTAAGATTAGAGATAGGACCAGTTAGACTGCAGATTGTAGCTCAAACCCCTTCGTGTCCTCACCAGGCATACTGAGGCTGGCCTACGATGGAGAGTCTGAGGTAATTTATGGCTTAGAATACAAATCAGGATAACTGGGCCTATAGCCCCCTCCCTCTGGCCTAATTCCCATGAGATCCCACTGCCCCCACAAGACAGCACTGAGACAGAACAGGAAGCATGATTTAGAACTGGTTAAAACGGGTTGAAAAAAATTTTTTTTCAGTGATTTTCTTAGTCAACATTTTAACAAATTATTAGCCCACAAGAAAAAGGTTTCTATATCAGCAAGGTGTCCTAATCCCTTAGGCCACTTGGAGAAATCTCAAGCTGATTAGATATGTCAGGCCAGGGTGCTCTGTCTTCTAGAGCTCCATGCTGGGTTCAAAGGAGGGGGTTCAGGGACCCACTGGGTACTAGGTGTTGGGGTGTTTGCCCCTCAGCCTCTGCCTGCCCAAACCTTGACCATCCCCACTCACCACCCCTGTGTTTGCTTTGCAGTGGGGACAGCTCCTCACCAGTCCGGAAGGAGAAAAAGAAGAAGGCTGGGAAGAAGCACAGACGAGACAGGTAAAGCTGAGGCCAGCACTGTTCTGACCCGCATCTCATCCATCCCACAGATCCCGTCATCCCTGTCCACCCTCTTGGACTTCACAGTCTCCCCTCATTGGCTGGTCCCAGGCTGCAGCCCCATTCTTCTTTGTTCTCTTAGGCTGGAGTGGGAGTGGGAGTGGGAGTTAAGGGCCCTGATGCACCCACTCAGCTAATGCAAGTAGGCAGAGCCCAAGACCAGGTGGAAGCAGAAAAGGTTATACTGTCACTGGCTTTGGCAGGGAGAGTGGTGGGAGGTGACAGGGAGCAAGAGCATGGGCCCAATCTTCTCCCCTCCCCCATGCCATGGCTTCACAGCAGGGCTGGCTGGAGCCCAGCATGAATCCAGCAGCAGCCAGCCTGTTTGAAGTCAGTGATGCACTGCAGATACCAATGGCTGTGAATAATGCATGGCAACCAGCCGGCTGCTTACAAAGCATCTGCCCAGGCTGCCCACTGTCTCTGCCACAGCACAGATCCCAGCTCAGCACTTGCCCCTGACCTCCCCCCCACCCCCTTCCCCAATAATGAAGTCATCCTGTGTCTGCCCCAGCCTGGGTTGGGTGTCAGCCAGGTTTGATAAATGAATAGCATTGAACAGCCCATAGTTCACAGAGTGATTGAGATGGATCTAAGAAAGATGCTGCAGCAGACGGAGGTGCTGGGAGCCACCCCCACCTGCCCTAGGCCTTGGAAATGGGGAAATGGGAAGGTCAGGGGCAACTCAGGACAGGCAGCACATTCCTGGGAATAACACCTCCTGTGGTGGAGGCGAGATGGAGGGAGCTGTGATACACACAGAAGTGAGGATGCAGCACCCCACGGTGGGCAGTTAGGAGCAGGCATTGAACCTGGCACCCATGGGAGATGTACAGTATGAGCCTCTACTGCCAGGGGTAAAAGGATCAGCTCCATTTGCCCACTTCTGTAGCCAAACACCAGCTCCTCAAGAGGAGAGCAGAGCACCGAGGTCAGGAAATGGGTTACAGTGTATACTGGGATTCTCCCTGCCTCCTAGTTTGTCTCTGAGTTTGCCCATGTGCCAGACTCAGCAAACAGAAGATCCCAAGACTGGGGCCAGGGAGAAATGGGCCCTGAATCCCTGAGGAAAGCCCCCTGGGAGCTCTGGATGATGAACACCTGCTGTGTACAGTGACTCATATGGCTCAGGCTCCAATGGCTGAGGAGAAGTGGCTGTCCTCAACACCTTCAGGCTCCACCTTTCAGCCCAAGAAGAGCTAGCTAAATTGATAGATCGATGGGTGGATGGATGCACCACTGAAATACTGGCCTTCTTCCCTCTACTTCTGGGATGAAGACGTTCTTCCTTAGGAGCCCTCGCAGTTAGTAGTAAGCTGCAAGGTTGAATCCCTTGTTGCTCATCTCAGCCAGTCTCCTGTTTCCCTCTTGTTCCTCTCACAGGTCTGAGTCTGGATCCCGGAAGAAGAGAAGACACAGGTGAGAGTTAATGAGGCAAGAGCCGCACTTCCTCACTGCTCCTGCCCCTTAGACCCCCACTCACCACCCGCCTTGCCCCAGTCACCTCTTGCTTATGTGCCTTCCTCCCTCCTCTCTGGTACTGGAGCCTGCTTTCTCCTGCCTGACATTCAGGGAGGTGTCTGGGGTCACTGATGAGAGGAGCCAAGTGGAGCCCCCTGCCCTTCAGCTGTTTGAAGGTATCAGGGCCATGCAGGGAGAGGCAGAATCATTTGCAGCAGGTAACACTGGCTTGTAGTGAGGGACAAAGGAAATCCAGCAGGATGCCCTAGCCCCACTCCCTCCATTCCATCTTCATACCAGCTCCCAGCTCCTTCCCTCACTGAACCCTGTTCCACCAGGACCTCAAAGAGCCATCAGCTTGGTGCCATGTCTCCTGGGTTGGCCTGCTGAAGCCTATCACCTGCCTTCAAGTCCCAACATGCCACGCCCAGGCTTTGTTCCAGGGGGCCCCAAGCACACCACTCAGGTCCATCAAGGGAAAGGAAGATATCCCCTCTGCCCCAGACTGGGTGGTAGAGGGCGGGGAAAAGCCAACCCTTGTATTTGCTCAGAGTCCCGACCTGGTGTGAATAGAGGTGGGCCCAATCCTGAGTTGCCTGTAAGCTCTGCCCATGTTGGCCTCTTCAATGTAGCCCCTCCCCTGAGCTCTGCAGGGCAGGCCCTGTTCTAAGTCCTTACAACCCCCTGTCCCTGTACTTTAAAGATGAACAATTTTCATTCCTACAGCAGATTGGGAGCTTTTTAAAGTGTAGTTCCTTGAATGCTTTTGCTTAGCCTGTATGTTGTTACTGTGGTGCCCTCTGGTGGAGGAACTGTCCTTGTAGCGTAGGAGGAAAAAAAGACCAGAGCTGCGGAGAATGGTACGGTGCATAAAGCAGGGGGCCATAGGATGAGGGACAACTCATATCATGGGACTGAGCCATGAGAAAGATTAAGGGGCCACTGCTGGTTTAGATAACAGATTTTAAGGCTTGTGTAGGCCATCAGTCAGGTCCTCTGCATAACACCAGCAATGAATGCCTGTCATTCTCACATCTAACCTTGTGATGAAGCTAGAATGGCTTTCAGAAAGGCTTCTCACCTTACTGTACAGGCTGCAAGTGATGGTGAGACCCCTCAGATATGGGCCTGAGGTCACCAGGTGGTTCAGAGGGCCCGGCACAAAGTTACTTTGCTGTGGAGGAAGTTGTTTTGCAGTTGGAGTTGGGGAAGGGGCATTTGAACCCCAACCTCAAAGGTTTGCTAGGAGGTTTGAATCCAGTTCCAACTCAGAACTCCCCCATGATACAGGGGACCTTGTCAGATCTGTGATTGGATTCAGCAAGAACAAAAGTAGAGTCTTGGGGATGCTATGGAAATCATCAGGGAATGGCAAGAAGACACATGCATGCACCAGCCTATGAGGATCTCAAAGTTCCTCCCAAACCTGGCAGTCCATTGGGCTACAGTTCAGTCATGCTCATTTCTGTAGCCAGCAGCACACAAAGAAGTGATATGGCTTACATCCTATCTGGCCAAGTTTGACTCTCCCACCAGAATGACTAGGTACCCATGCACAGCTGAGCCGACAGGGGATGACCTTTGGCATGAACTCAAAGCTCTGGACCCATAGCAGGACATCCCATCACTGTGATCCATGAGTGTGTCTGGCAATAATTATCTTTGGAGTAATGGGCAAAAATTCCCTGAGAGCACCCTTGAGTGGTCTTTGGAGCCATGATGGCCTTTGGAGCCATCCCCACTGAAGCACCAAAGACTTTGTCCCAGTACGGAGTCTGCTGCCTCCTCTTCAATGTTAGCCCTTTCACCAAGAGAAGATAATTTAAGGCTATCCAGCTGGATGGTAGTTTAAAGAGACAACTTCCTCCCATTGGACACCACAGTCTCAGGGCTGGGTGCACTGTAACATGTGTTTTCAGTCTTCTGCTATTCCGCAGGTCCAGAAGCCCCAAGAACAAAAGGAAAGAGAAAAACAAAGAGCGAAAAAGGTGAGGCTCCAAGTGTGAGGCCCAGGGAACACTTGACTTGATACAAGAGGGTGGGGGGTGCAGAGACCCTCCCACCTCTACATTGACAGTGGGAATTTGAGGTTTACAAAGGCATTGCACACTAGTAGCATATGGATTTCTGGGCACCACACCATGTTCTTCTGGTGGGGCTGGTGCTTTGATGGCAAAAAAGCTCTTTCCTTCCACCCAGTAGAGATGGGAGACCTAACAGCCTGGTGAGATAAGGAGCTGGGGTCTCCACCCAGCATCTGGTTGGGCTTGGTGATGGGGGAACTCTCCAATGTCTAGTTGGGTCTGGAAGTTAGAGGCTCCTCCTGAGCATCCTGTTGGATTGGGCAGTCAAAGGTCCTGCAGTACCTTGCTGAGTTTAGGATGGAGGCAAGTCCAGCTAGCACTAGCACTAGAATGAGGTTCTCACACCAGTGCCCTGGCTCCCCCAGGGGCAGATATGTTGCTACAAACTGTCACCCTCCCAGGGAGAAACCTTCTAGGGGTTCCCATTTCCCCTCCTGCTGGGTCTGACCCAGAGCCCAGTGCCATCAGCAGGGTTCTTTCTACTGACCCAGTTTGGCTTTGGGGCCAGTACTGTGAGATCAGGAGTTCTGACTGGGCCCTCCTTTTCTCCCTCTTCCCCCAATCCCCTTCCTCGTCTGTCTCTTTCAGATCCCATAGTGGTTCTCCTGCCCGGAGGTCCCACAGACACAGCAGCTGCAGCTCCCACAGTGCTTCACTGTCTTCAAATTACAGCAACTCCAAATCTCCCAGCAGGTAGGCTTGGTTTCCCCTAGGACTCTTGGCCCATCTCCAGGCATGGGTATATAAATTGCTGAGGGTGGGCACTGGGAATGGGGGCATGGACCAGGCACACTAGGTGTGGGTTTGTCACCCAACTCCTCACATTCTCCATCTATGATACAGGGCTGCCCCTGTGAGTGCAGGGACTGGTTCTCACTGGATCTCACACATTACTAACCCTCACAAAATCAGCTCAACCCTCGCACCATATGAGTCATTTTCTTCTTAAAGACCCAGCTTCTTCTTAAAGACCCTGCAAATCCATGGCATCCAAAAGTAAGCATGTGAGCTCCACATGTTTATGGAGAAACATCTGGAAATGTGACCCCTGAAGTGCAAACACCAGATGCCCAATGAAAATTCCCCAATGGTATTATTTAAAAAAAGAAGAAAGAGATGCCATGATACTGAAGTCAGTCTCTTGGTTTAGGAGACCTGGTCTATGAAGTTGGGCTGACTGTGCCCCAAACAGCAGCAGAATTACCACATTATATAATGTGATGACTGAGATCAGACTCAGGCCTGTCCTATATCCACAGATGCTTGCATCCATGCCTGTGTCTATGTGTATGTGTATCTGCACTCATATGGCTACATGGAAATAGAAGTAACTGGGACACTGGCCTTCAGCAAGTACAGCCAAAATGCTGCCTGCCTCTCCACCCAGCCCCTCACACCCTCCCTGTTCCCATGCCTGCCATATCTCCTGTGAGTTGGCCCCAAGTCACATGTCACATCCCACCATCCACTGTCTCCTGCAGACTCAGCCCCAAGCATAGGGAGGATGGACAGAAGGCCAGCAGCCACCGTTCCAGCTGGAGCCCGTCCTCCTCTGGCACCTGCCACAGCCGCTCAGCCACACCACACCAGAACGGGCATAAGGGCAGCGCCCAGAATGGTCGGCACAGCCACAGCAACCTGGTCATAAAACAGCAGGATGTACGTATGCTTTTCTTTTATCATGGTTCACCCCCACTCCTCCTTCCTCCTCCCCTCCACCAACACCGCCCCTGCCCTCCTCACCTGCATCATTTCCCCCTTTACAAGTCACTTCACTCCAAGCTTACCAAGGTGAGACCAGCAGGTGAAGCCCTGTTTGCTTTTGCTCAGTCTCAGTGACCCCAGGGGAGCAGCCTCACTCTTGGCATTGAGCAGAACCCAACACTGGCCTGTATCTGCCAAACTGGCCATGTCATGAGCAGACCTTCTACCCACTCCTCCATCACCATGGACACATACACGTAGGGTCCAAGCCTAGGCAGCCTCATTGATTTGTGGGACATTGCAAAGGATTCACTGTAATAGCATGACTCAGTCCTAGAGGCAGGAGGGGAAGTAAGATGGGAGGAAACATGAGGTGTTTTTCTCAGGTTTGTTCTCAGGAGTTTTGTTCCTATGAATTAAAGGGCATGTCTACATTGTGACACTGATGCTACTGCATCATACTAGCTCATTGGTACTGCACAGTAGGATCAGAAATGACCCATGTGCCACTGGGACTGCACAATAATGGTGGTTACTGCACAGTCAGTCATTTAGTACTTGCTAAAACAAGTACTAAATGACTCCGCAGTAGCAACTGTGCAGTTGGGGGCACGTGTAGACATGCCCACAGTAACTAAAAAACACTCTCTGAAGAGAAGGAGTGGCAGAGATTTTCCAAGTGGTCTCACATCTTGACTGAATCATTTCCAAAGGGCTTGACAAGAAGCTGGTATCATCACAGCACCTGCTTGAGAAGCATTTGGTGCCATCTTCTTCTGCTCAGGAGAGAATTTCCCTGTGGGTATTATTTAGTGAAGAAGGGTAGCAGCTTGTCTGGTGCAGGTGGTGAAAGATGTTCATCCTTCCCATGGTTATGTGTATCTTCAACTGGCTTGGCCAGAATGACAGAAGTCATCTTTGAAAAATACCTGCTGAGGCTACTTGAGGAGAAAAGTGGGGAATCTCACTATGGCAGGATCTCTCATCTATACCCCCAAGTTCCCTCAGATACTTCAACTCATGGAAGTCTCTTTATCTCAACCCTCAGATCCTTTTTTAAAAGCCAAGTCCTTCATCCCTCGCTCAGGCAAATTTACAGCTGAAATAAAAGCAAACAGAAAGGGCTGGAGGCCTGCGTCACCTCTGACAGTAAGCCTAGTTCTCCAGCCTGTCTCTCTGTGGGAACCAGGCTGAAGGAATGGGATATTCCCTTTTGTCTCAAGACACTGGGCCTTCTTTGGCTATAACTTCCTTCATCATGCAAAACTTCAGGCTAATTAGAGCCACAAGGCTTTGGCACTTGGCAGGGAGGTTTCTGTTCTTGCTCTCTTGTCTGTATGGATTCAACCCCTGTGTGTTTCCACTTTGGATCAGCCTGAAAGGAAGACCCAGTGGGAGCTGCTGAGCATTGCACTGAGACCATCTTAAACAGTGAATTCCAGTAGGCCAGGCTCTGCTCACTCAGAACTGGGACCAAATGTGATCAGGGTCCTATAGCTTAGTTTCCCTCTAGCACCCATGCAGCCGTGGGTAGAGCTGTGTGTCTATTGACATGATCAGCTCATAAGCTGGGGCTGGTTAGTGATGGTTTCCTTATGGAAACTTTTGCAACTTTCCATCAGGAAAACAGTAACAAAACCTCCTGATTTGGGCTGGCTTGTCCTAAATGGAAATCTCTTGGTTCATTAAACTGATTCAAAAAGTTTCATTTTGAGTTCATTCCACAGGAAACTTTAGCTTCAAATGCTTCAAAAAAGGCTCCATGATTGCCATTACAATTAAACATTTTGTCATTGCTGATAGAGATATGTTTCATTTCTGTTTGGGTCACCCACAGTCTGCATTCTGTCTTATTCACCAGGCTCCCTGGCAAGGCTTATCTCCCACGATGTAATGCAGTATCCTCTCTGTCTGAGTAGTGTGGTGCCTTATCGGAGGTGTAGTCTGGTCAGGGAGCCTGGCCTATCATGCAGAATCGGGGTGTTAGACCTCATCTACAACTCTCATGAAGTGACTCAGCACAAAAGGGAAATGCAGTGTGATATCCTGATTGAAACGGAGATTTTTCCTGTTGGTTCAGCAAACTGAAATGAAACAGGTAGAGGAAGGAATGCCTTCATGTTTCACTTTGGCTGAAAATACTGAACATTTTCCTGTTTCCAAACTGAATTTCTGGGGTGTGTCTCCTACTACAAAAATGCACCACTGGGGCTTTTTGCTAGGATTTGGGGCAAAACTAAATGCCAAAACAAAGTCCCACCTTCTGCTGAACTCTACTAACAGAGACCTTAGATCTCCGATGCGTTTCCATGGGATACCAGGCTAAAGGGGCTTCTCCCCAAGTGACCAGGTCAGGGGGCTGTGCTATGTGAGAGAGAAGCATTCTGCCTTTGAACACTGGACAGCACATTCAGGCTTTGTACCAGAGATCCACCTGCTCAGGCCCTGACCCAAAACCTATTGGAGGAAGCAGAAGCCTTTACATTGACTTTGAGGGGATTTGGATCAGTCACTAAAAGCAGAGAAAGCTCAGGCAGTCAAAGTTCTTTGGGCAGATGTGATATCTTTTATTAGATCAACTAAATAGTTGGAAAAATTGGGTTTTTTGCAAGCTTTCTGGCACAAATGCCCTTCTTCACGCATGGGGAAAGTCTTACTATTTCTGAGCTTTCCTGGGTAGAATAGAAGCCAAAATGCAGAATGCAGGTCTGTGAAAATGCAAATACATGGCAGTAAGGTTCAAAGGGAATGGGACATAATAGGTGTGAAAAGGTAGTTGTTGCAGGGAAGGGCAGGGGAGATGATAAAATGTAGTTGGTAAATGCAGACAGATTACCTGGGTTTATCAGATGGCAGGCAAGTTATAATGTGCCATAAATCCAATGTCTATATTTAGCCCATAATTTTTTGTATCCAGTAGATTTATTAAGTGAAGTTTGCAGGCTTGTCTTAATTCTCTGGCCATCATACAGCTCAGGAAGACCCCTGGCGATCTCTGGGACTGCACACTACCCTGGGGGTGGGAATCAGCTTACAATAGCCTTGCAGAGCCTTCCATTAGTATATTTCAGCAACCAGATTTGATCATTTCCCATTCCTTCTCCATTCCCTTCTCTCAAACCCCACTAGCTTTTGAAGGTAGTTCCCACTAACAATCATGAGTTCCCAGTCCAGAGACTTCCATGCTGCAGCCCAATTCCCATAGCTTCTCTTTGATTTCTTCTTTATTGTGTTTTTTAATATTGTTTATTTTGATTCTGATTCTCCTGCTGCCCACACACCCACCTCTTCATTAATCCATGGCGATTTGATCGATTTGTGTTGGTCTTGCTCTATGGCCCCTCCCAGAGATCCTGGCACCAGGTCAAAGGTCGCCCATGGATCTAGCAAATGGCTGAGCACATTGTTTTGCTAATGATTTGGAGATTAAAAAAGAAAATCAAAGCACTCAGCCACTGTGTGCGCCTCCATTCCTGCCCGATAATGTCAGAGACACTGCTGAATAAACACAAGTTCCTTTTGTTAACAGGCGCTGGTGGTGCTTTTCTCCAACAACTCTCTCTTTCTCTCTCTTTTTTTTTCTTTTTAATCCCATCTGTGTTTTTCTTTAGCCTCCCATTTGAAAAACGGTAATATACAATTCCATTTCTTGCTCAGCAGAAGCAGGGAAGAGGGGGAGGGAAGGGAAACGAAACGTGCTTTTTCTTTGTTCAGTTTCGTTTATTTCTTTATTTTGGGATTTCTTTATTTTCCTTTCATTTGTGACGTACAGAAATGCAAACTATATATTTCTCTATTTCTTTTTTGTTCCTGTTGTCGTTGTCGTGTTGTTCTAGATCTTTTTTTTGCTTTTGTGTGTGTTAATGTGGAGAAGACAAAACAAAAAAGCGGATGTGTTTTCTTGATATTTACAACTGTTGAACATTGTATTTTCATCTCTATATTTTGAGCAGAGAATTTAAAAGGGAAGATAACTGTGCCACCAAGAAAGGGCATTGGGCTTATTTCAGACTTGCACGTCTAACTTCCTTTTTCCTGCCAAAGCCATAGGTCTGCTTTTTTCTGCTTTTAAGTGTCCAAAGTAAGTGGCTGGCTGTTGGGCATGATTATCGCTGATTTGTTATTGGTCTGTTTTGCAGCAGTCTGTAGGAGCACCTTGTGTTTGGCACTGCACAAACACAGATCCTGTCTCCCAACCTTCTTATGAATCTAAACTCATATATCTTTCCGTAGCTCTTGTGTATATAATCAACCCACCCTGTGCTACTCAGGGCCTGGACATAGAACATGGTTCCTCTGGTTTGAAAGAGTAGACAGATGATGTGCAGGTCTACACAAGTGTAACTTCTTCAGATAGAGTGTAGAGTTATTCCAAGAAAAAATAGGGATACACTGTGGTATGTTGCACCCGTATACATGTCACCTGTCCACAAGCTTATCCTGGGGTAGCCATTTGCCCAGGGGAAATAGGTTATTTATTACCTGCTCTCTTGCCACTTAATGGTAAGCCACTGTAATAGCATTTCTGGGTTGCACGTACCCTGGGATAGCTGCATTTCTGTTCACTCTAGATCACTGTGTAATATACCGCAGCATACAAAAATGATGTAAGATGCACCAATGTAATTGCATTGTTGGTTTAGAACCTGAAGTAACACACAAAGTGAACTAGGCCATCATATACCTAGAGGGCTCGACTACAAAATCATCCATAAAGATGATGGATTCAGTCATTTCCATGTAAGCCCTGAGTGAGGAAAATGTTTTTAGGCACAAGCCTTGAAATGAGCTGTTGTCTTCTCTGATGCCTCTATGAAGGCACATGCAACCAAAGTAGTTGCGCTGACTGAGCTAAGTTACACCACCCCAGCTTCAGTGTTTAGACAGGAAGGGAGACATTGAAAATATACCTCAGGAACTGAGCCTACAGCTTTTTAATGTCTAGAGCTCCTAAT